GAGGGAGAGAGAGAGAGAGAGAGACACATGCACGCTCAGACAAACAAATAAACATATATCCTAATCATAAACAGGACCGAACAGTTCGGAACTCACCGCCACGATGACGTCACACTCCTCTCGTCCCAGGAACAGCATGGTCTTGGGTAGTCGGAACTTCTGCCCGTGGGTGTCCACCAGGTACCAGTGGTCCTGTACAGCGGGACCCTCGCCCTCCTGCAGGGAAGGAAAGAAAACGTCATTGTAAAAGGGATACTGTTATGCCCCTTCAATGCAATTTAGATAAGTAAGAGGCGGGCTGCTTACGCCACCATCGATGCAATTTGGATCAAATAGGAAGCTGGCTGCTTACGTCCTCATTGATGTAATTCAGATTATGTGCCAGGCAATTTACACCTTGAAGAAGGAGGGCTGCCTCAACACTGCTTCAATGCTGAGAGGGATACACAACCCCAACAGGCAAAGGTTGACAATGAATTAAAAACAAACTCCCCTATTCGGGAACCGAAGTACGTCTTCTTCGTGCAACAACCAATAACTTGTCCACTGAATAGCAGACGACGATGCAGGGGAAGCCACGCAAACAGGCACACAAAAGGGAATAGCAAAATGGGGTTTATTTTAGTTTTAGTGAGAGTTGTACGGTAATTGCAACATAATTATGTCATATAAGTGCCGAAGATGACAGTTATTACAAGAGAGCAACATCCAATGAAACGAAAGAGGATAGATAAGGGTTTAGATGTTTGATTGATAAGAAGGCGCAAAAGGTGCGCGATTGGTGGGTGTCTGTTTGCTCCTTAGAATACACCTTCTGTCACAATGGTAGATGTGATTGTCAAGGTTAAGCATGACTGACACACACAGTCCAATTGCATACTTGTTTTCATTATTATGTAGGTTGGACAGGACAGGCAAAGCATGAAGTCCCTGAAATACAGGCTGTAGTTAATTTGTTGGTATTATGACCGCCTCTTTCACCACCTGTCTCTACAGCTGGCTTCCCAAGCGTCAGAGCCATGGCGGAAATATTTCGTTGACCAAAAAAATAGGAGCTTGAGTTTGAGTCAAGAGCAGCACGCCAACGCGTAGAGAAGAACAGACATTGCCAGGCAGCCTAAACGTGTTTAGATGACATCCTCTTGTAACTTTTAAAGAAACAACTTCGGCCATACTCCAGACAACAAAACAAAAGAGATATTTCTGTTGGCCGTCCACATGACAAAATTAGATAGTTTAGTTGGCAGTGCACAAAACAAAACAGAAATTTCTGTTTGGGGCTTTCCGCTGACTTCTGTAAGTAAAAGAAACCAAATACCCCCCCCCCCCCAAAAAAAAAAAACAACCCCAGAGCAGCATGCATTGTAAATGACAACAAAAACCCACAGAAGTACGACGCAAAAGCAAAACATTAAAATTTAAAACAGTTTGGTGGATTGTAGCAAGATGAAATAGTCTCAATTGGCAGATGTCTAGAATGTGTAAAAATCATACTGAAGCCTGCTGAGTGGCATCTGGATGGAGTTATGTAGATAAGAGAGCATCTGTGTGAATGTATACATCTGGCCCAGTTACACCCACAAGTTATATCATTTTTCCTCGTGTCATTTACGAACTATCATGAGCTAGTGACAGATCTGAGACAGACCTCGGCGATTATTGCAGAGACAAGTGTTTCTTTTTTCATTTCAAACAACTCAAAAACCTCCCACACCCTGAGATATTACAAGAAGCCGCAAGCTGACACTGAAATATGCTTTACATGTATTACAATCCAATTGATGTAAGTGATATTACGGGGTCAGTGGGTCAATTGCGAGTTGCATGGACGATAATTTCCCTATGTAACATCAAAATTATGTTTTAGTGTGGTTCGCACGTTTTTCTCACGAGCACCGTTTTAGTCAAGGTGTTGCCTTGAACTTTTATATTATATATCATTACCATAGCCTGGGCTTGTGACATCTTACGGTGTTACGGTGGGGTTTGTTGACAAGTATTAAACGAGCTGTACTTCACTGTAAGTGTGTGAGAGTGTGTGTGGGGGGGGGGGGGGGTGTATGTGTGTGTGTGTGTGTGTGTGTGTGTGTGTGTGTGTGTGTGTGTGTGTGTGTGTGTGTATGTGGATATGTGAATATGTAAAGTGTATGTGTGTGTGACACTTGATGTGGCCCAGGCTCACACAAAAACATGATAACATTATATAAAAAGATCGACGCTTTTTCTAGCACATGCACGACACAGACAGCGTGCAGGACGAGGTGTGCTGTGGACCAACCTTTGCCGCGATGGCCACCACCAGATGCACGGGGTGCCGGGATTGCACGCCGTACTTCTCCTGAAGTTTCTCCAACAGACTCTGGGCTTTCTGACGTATGCGGTCCATCTCAGACCGCGAGTCTACTCCACATGGCTGGACACAGCCACCCTCACCACCTTACTCTCCACCCTAGGTGTATCCAACAGCTCTTCCTCTTCTTGACCCAAATAGTACTATTCAGGCAGAACTCTCGAATTAAAAGCAGATTAGCAACAATGTACAAGTACAGATCCACCTGCTACAAGTAGAATTATTACGTTGAAATATTCCCCAGAGCTGTAAGGTACAGGGCGTCCATCGAGGCAGTCACTTGCGACGTCGAACGCTTGGATCTATCACAGAATGGTTGTCTTTCACAGGTGTGCACCAATTCCGCCATCTTATTACATCCATTGTGTTAGTATACGTTTGATGTTGTAGCTGGGTTGCACAGAGAAGTGGTCATATTATTTTCAACACCGTGAATGTAGTTCACATGTCAGCGACATGAGAAAACGGCACCATGCACTCCAACAGTTGAGGAGTTAGATCTCAGAGAGAATCACCTACGTCACAGGTAATAGTTCCGACTCGTACAAAAGCCGTCTGTGTTCCATATCATGAACGACAATGACACATTTTCGACTTCCAGTCTCTGGTGCCTTAGACTCCAACTACACAGAAGACTATAAAAAAGGGGTAAACTTTGTACTGAAACGCAATATCGTATATTTTTTTTAAAAACTATTTATAAAACACCTTTCAGTCTCTTATACCTAAGTACCAAACTATACAGACGACAACAAAAATAAAGGTAAACTTAATACGGAAATGCGAACTCGTACACTGATAATCTTAGTATAAGCCGTTCATGCGACAACTACAAATATGAGAGACAAACTGCCCATGTCTTTTTAACGTCTTTTTTCTGTTTTCAAACTCAAAACGAAAAAACAATAAAACACCGGTACACTAACGTACTCATAACATAAGCATCGAATAAAAATCGACAGTTAGGAGAGGCGGAGGAGGGAGAAAGGGATAGAGAGAGAGAGGGGGGGAGAGAGAGGGGAGAGAGAGAGAGAGAGAGAGAGAGAGAGAGAGAGAGAGAGAGAGAGAGAGAGAGAGAGAGAGAGAGAGAGAGAGAGGGAGAGATGTACATGTACGTGGAAAACCTGAGTAGATGGGTAAATGGAAGTGACCGGAATAATAGGTATTTTTTAAAGTGTCTCCGAGCAAATAAATGAATGGCGAGCCATGATCGACGATGCTTGTTTCAAATGTGGCAATATGATGATGATGATGATGATGATGATGATGATGATGATGATGATGATGATGATGATGATGATGATGATGATGATGATGATGATGATGATGACGAT